ACTATGTTCCCAGTAAAGTTATCAAATTCTTGAAGGCCCAGCATATGGTTGGGAAGGGTTGTCTTTCGTATCTAGCCTTTGTGAGGGATGTCGGTGCAGAGATTCCCAGTATTGATTTTGTTCAAGTTGTAAGGGAATTTCACGATGTGTTTCCTGCAGACCTGTCGGGCATGCCACCGGATAGGGATATTGATTTTGGTATTGGCCTGGTGTCGGGCACTCAGCCCATTTCTATTTCGTCGTATCGTATGACACCAATGGAGTTGAAAGAGTTAAAGGAGTAGCTTCAGGAACTCCATGATAAGGGGTTCATTCGGCCTAGTGTGTTACCTTGGGGTGCGTCGGTTCTATCTGTGAAGAAGAAGGATGGCACTATGAGGATGTGCATTGATTATAGGCAATTGAACAAAGTAACAATCAAGAACAAGTATCATTTGCCTCGCATTGATGATTTATTCGACCAGCTTCAAGGAGCGAGAGTGTTCTCCAAGACTGATCTCCATTCAGGTTATTTCCAATTGAAGATCAGGAACTCGGATATTCTTAAGACGTCTTTCAGGACCAGATATGGTCATTATGAGTTCTTGGTGATGTCTTTTGGGCTGACCAATGCCCCAGCATCGTGCATACATTTGATGAATAGCGTGTTCCGGCCTTATATCGACTCGTTTGTCATAGTATTCATTGATGATATTCTGGTGTATTCGTGTAGTCAGGAGGAGAATGCAGAGCATTTGAGAGTTGTGTTGCAGAGATTGAAGGAGGATAAGCTTTATGCAAAATTCTCCAAGTGTGAGTTTTGGCTCAGATCAGTACCTTTCTTGGGGCACGTGGTGTCCAGCGAGGGTATTCAGGTTGATCCAAAGAAAATAGAGGCGGTTCAGAGTTGGCCCAGACCGTCCTCAGCCACAGAGATTCGCAGCTTTCTTGGTCTGGCAGGCTATTATCGCCGGTTTGTTCAGGTATTTTCATCCATCGCATCGCCCTTGACCAAGTTGACTTAGAAGGGTGCTTCATTTGTATGGTCGGATGAGTGTGAGGAGAGCTTTCAGAAGCTCAAGACAACTTTGACCACAGCTGCAGTGTTAGTTTTGCCATCAACTTCAGGTTCATATACCGTGTATTGTGATGCTTCGAGAGTTAGTATTGGTTATGTTCTGATACAGGAGGGTAGAGTTATTGCTTATGCTTCTCGTTAGTTGAAGTCCCATGAGAAGAACTACCACATTCATGATTTGGAGTTGGCTGCCATAGTTCATGCATTGAAAATTTGGAGGCATTACCTGTATGGTGTGTCTTGTGAGGTGTTTACTGATCATCGTAGTCTCCAACACTTGTTCAAGCAGAAGGATCTTAATTTGAGGCAACGGAGATGGTTAGAGTTGCTAAAGGATTATGATATCACTATATTGTACCATCCGGGAAAGGGCAATGTGGTGGCCGATGCTTTGAGCCGAAAGGCGGTGAGTATAGGGAGTTTGGAATATATTCTAGTTGGGGAGAGACTCTTGCAGTTGATGTTCAGGCCTTGGCCAATCGGCTTGTGAGGTTGGATATTTCGAAGCCCGGTCGGATATTGGCTTGTGTAGTTTCTCGGTCTTCCTTATATGATCACATCAGAGAGTGTCAGTATGATGATTCGCATTTGCTTGTCCTTAAGGTCACAGTTCAGCATGATGATGTTAGAGATGTGACCATTGGTGATGATGGGGTGTTGAGGATGTAGGGCCGGATTTGTGTGCCCAATGTGGATGGGCTTCGGGAGTTGATTCTGGAGGAGGCCCATAGCTCGCGTTATTCTATTGATCCGGGTGTCGCGAATATGTATCAGGATTTTAGGAAGCATTATTGGTGGAGGAGAATGAAGAAAGACATTGTGGGGTTTGTAGCTCAGTGTCTCAATTATAAGCAGGTGAAATATGACCATCAGATACCTGGTGGCTTGCTTCAGCGGATGGATATCCCAGAGTGAAAGTGGGAGCAGATCATTATGGACTTTATAGTTGGACTTCTACGGACTTTGAAGAAGTTCGATCCTATTTGGGTGGTTATGGATCGTCTGACCAAGTTCGTGCACTTCATTCCTGTGTGTACTACCTACTCTACAGAGCGGTTGGCAGAGATCTATATCCGGGAGATTGTTCGATTGCATGGTGTCCCAGTTTTCATCATTTCAGATAGGGGCACTCAGTTTACTTCGCAGTTTTGGAGGTCTATATAGCGAGAGTTGCGTACTCAGGTTGAGTTGAGCACAGCTTTTCACCCTCAGATGGACGGGCAGTCCGAGCGCACTATTCAGATATTGGAGGACATGTTACGTGCTTGTGTCATTCATTTCGGAGGGTCATGGGATCGGTTTCTACTACTTGCAGAGTTTGCTTATAACAACAACTACCAATCGAGTATTCAGATGCCTTTATATGAGGCTTTGTATGGGAGGCGGTGTAGATCTCCAGTTGGTTGGTTTGAGCCGGGTGAGGCTAGGCTTTTGGGGACAGACTTGGTGCATGATGTTTTAGAAAAGGCGAAGGTGATTCAGGAGAGGCTTCATACAGCGCAGTCGAGGCAAAAGAGTTATGCTGACAAGAAGGTTCGAGATGTGTCCTACATGGTTGGTGAGAAGGTTCTGTTGAAGGTTTCGCCCAAGAAGGGTATTATGAGATTTGGGAAGAGAGGTAAATTGACTCCTCGATTCATTGGGCCTTTTGAGGTGCTTTAGAGGATTGGGGAGGTAGCTTATGAGCTTGCTCTGTCACCCAGCTTGTCGAGTGTGCATCTAGTATTTCATGTTTCTATGCTCCGGAAGTATATTGGGGATCCGTCTCATGTTCTAGATTTCAGCACAGTTCAGTTGGATGATGATTTGACCTATGATGTGGAGCTAGTAGCTATTTTGGGTCGTCAGGTTCGAAAGTTTAGGTCAAAGGATATAGCTTCAGTGAAAGTACAATGGAGAGGTCGGCCCGTGGAGGAGGCTACCTGGGAGACCGAGCGGGAGATGCGGAGCAGATATCCTCACATGTTTGAGGCTTCAGGTATGTTTCTTGACTCGTTCGAGAACGAACGTTTGTTTAAGTTGGGGAGGATATGATGACCCGGCCAGTCGTCTCATGAGTTACCGCTCCGTTCCTCCTATTTTTGCCTTTTATTGCTTTGTCCATCGGTTCTATATGTGATCAGATTGGTTAGTTTGGGTTCGGAAAGGATTTGGTAAGGTTTGAGATACATAGTCTCTTTTGAGGAAGCTTAAGTTGGAAAAGTCAACTAGATTTTGACTTATGTGTTAGAGGGCTCGGATGTGAGTTTCGATGGTTCGGTTAGCTTCGGGAGGTGATTTTGGACTTAGGAGCGTGATCAGAATGAGTTTTGGAGGTCCGGAGTAGATTTAGGCTAGAATTGGCGAAATTGGATTTTTGGTGATTTCCGGTTGATAGGTGAGATTTGGATATAGGGGTCGGAATGGAACTCCGAGAGTTGCAGTAGTTTCGTTGTATCATTTGGGAGGTGTGTGCAAAATTTCAGGTCATTCGGACGTGGTTTAGTTGAGTCTTTTATCAAAAGCATAATTTATAAGATTTTAGAATTCTTAAGCTTGAATCCGATGCGAATTTGGTGTTTTAATGTTGTTTTGAGCGTTCTGAAGGTTGGAACAAGTTTGAATGAGGTTATGGGATATGTTTTCACATTTGGTTGAGGTACGCGGGGCCTCGAGTGAGTTTCGGGTGGTCAATCGAACCATTTCATGATGTTTGGAATTGCTGAAAATTGTTGTGTGTTGCAGAGGATTTGGACATTCGCGTTCGCGAGTGGGTCCTCGCGTTCGCGAAGGGTCAGTTGGTGAAGGCTGGGATTTAAGCCTTCGCGTTCGTAAGGAAAGCTCCGTGTTAGCAAAGGGCTGAGTGTTTGGTCATCGCGTTCGCGTGAAGGGGACCGCGTTCGCGCAAAGGAAATTGGTCAGTTGGGGTTTGAGGTGTTTTGTTCATCGCATTCGCGTGTGATGGAGCGCGTTCGCGAAGATTTTTTTGAGGAACCATTGCATTCGCGATGGGCAGGTCGCGATCGCGAAGAGGAATTTTTGGTCAAAGTTATTTTGTGCTTCGCGAACGCGAGGCGTTGACCGCGTTCGCGAAGAAGGAAATGAGGCCTGGGCAGAATGTTTAAATAGTCGTCTTGTTCGCGATTTTGGGGTTTATTTCCACCATTGTTAAACTTTTTTGGAGCTTTTTGAAGAGGATTGAAGAGGGATTCAAGAGGAATCACTTGGATCTAAGATTCATGGACTTAAAACTCGATTCTAATGTGAAATTTACCTAATTAATCATGCAAATTANAAAAAGAAAACGGGTCGAACCCGACCGGGTCGCGGGTCATGGGTTATATCGGATTGAATTTTTTTTAATTAATTAATTAAATATTTGAAAAGAATTTTGTCCAAAAAGATTAATCAATCAATCTTTGACCGAAGCTGAAGCCGAGTCAAGCGATCGACGATGACGACGATGCGAGGCTTGCCTTCTTCTTAACTCTTTAAGAGCTAAAAGATGAGCTTCTCTATATATACACAAAGATTTTCTTTGCTTCTACCAATGAGGGACAACGTGCATTAGATAAATGAACTCATTCAAAATTTTGCTTCACTTCATTTCTTTTCCCACCATTTTCCATTCACACCTCTTTTGTTATTAATAAATAATAACAAAATCCAACAATTCTATCCCGACATCTATGTGAAAGTCAAGATATTATATGTATATATTGCTTATCTTTCCCATTCGAATAACTTCACCTCATCCCCAACTAACCAATTCTGAATGTAGTATAATTGTTTCCTCCAAAACTGTAAATTTAAAAGCTATACATCACAATATAAGGTCATGAGTCCTTAAGAACTCTTTCACAATAAATCCAGCATAATCCCAAAGTTGGAATTACCATTATATAAAATACTAGAGAAATCTCTAATGACGACTTTGTGTGGAAAGATATGTAAACACAAAAGATTCACAGGTCAAAAAGTAATCTATTGTTCTGATCATTTCATTACTGCTTATCTACAGTTTCATCTTCTCTCTTGGAGTAGAAGGAGATAACAATATGGCGGTATCTTACTTACAATTTATCACTTTAATATTCTATTTTCTTCTTTTTCAAGACTCCGAACATTATTTGCTAAACAGCTGAATCGTAAATTGCAAGTACAATAGGTTTGAAAGTTCAAATGAGACTAACTTGATAGTTAAATGTACATTACGTGGGTTGAGTTGTATCACAGTGTAAGCATAATTTTTTTATTAGCATCACGAAGGAAGATCAGCACAGTTGCAGGCAGATTTGTCACATTGGGGAGACTTTACTAATAGAACGCCTCTCGAATGGCACCGATCTTATATGCTCTCGTAATAGTATGATGGAACAGAGGAATAATAGCACCTTCAAATTTGGCGTAACGCCTGGTATTGATGGTTGTGGAATTAAAGTCTTTCCAGATAATGCTTTCACTGCAAAATATAATAAACGAGAAATCAAAAGCTCCAAGATTGTATTGAGGAACACAAGACATTCTTTGTGGTGGCCCGTAACAAACTTACCAGATATTGGTAAGTATGAACAAGGAAATTCCAGAAGCCAAAAGCATATCCTTCCTGAAGAAGTTCATCTAAGCACATAAGGATGATAGCAGCAAAGAAGAGTTGAAGGATAACTAGGATAGCATTTCCAACACCCAATTGGCTAACACTGCCATAAATCCCTGACAGAACATAAGTAAGTGCCTCGCCAATAACAATCACGATATCCAACAACTTTTGAGCACCATTACTGTGTAAGATAAATTTATCGAGAGAGCACATCAGAGAGTTTCATTGAACAGAACAGCTAATAGAAACATTATAAAACCAAGTTAGCTTAATAGCAAGAACGAAATTTTGTTAAATAAAATGAGTAATAAGTACAAAAAAGACGCATCCCTTTCTTTCGTGGTGGAGCGAGTGAAGTAGATTTAGATAGAAGCGTCAGATGAAGACAAAAAGTCAGTATAAGTTCAAGAGTGAGAACATTCAAAGCATGAAGTTTGTCTTGCAAATCCATATAAAAGAACTCATATAGGCTTTGCAAACTGATTTGAGCATAATAAACGTTATAGATCATATCATCCTCAAAAATCTAAGAGACAACTAACAAAATGAACTGATGCAAAATACATATAGTTGTTAAAAGAGTAAACAAACAAAACAAAAGAAATAATAATATTCAAAACATATTAACTTACAGGAGTGGTCGGTCCTCGTGAAACACATCGACTAATATTCATATGGTGATAATGTAGTAGTTAGAACATCATATAATTGTGAAGATTTCAAAGATGATGTCATAGTTATTTACTATAAACAGAGGAGACTGAGATTCTTGCTAATATTGCTGTCAAATTTGAGGTATACATAGTTAATTGTAGCTATTGACAAGAACAAATTTATCTGTATAGTTCTTCAAAACTCTTGAACTCCATCAAACAAATTACTTGTTATTGTGTTCATTCTTTAAGCTCACCTGTAGGTTGCAGCTGCTACCATTTTTTCGTGGTTGATTTGTTTTGCACTACTCATCAAACAAATATCCACTAATAAGCTTTTTTATTTATCAAGAACAATTTTAGAAAAGGCCAGAGATCCAACATAATCTCAGTAGATAACCATAATCTTGTAACATATATCCGTCTAAATTAAAATAATCTCAATAGCATTTATGTGACGACCCGGCCAGTCGTCTCATGAGTTACCACTCTGTTTCCCCATTTATGCTCCTTATTGCTTTGTCTATCGGTTTTATATGTGATCGGGTTGGTTGGCTTGGGTTCGGAAAGGATTTGGTAAGGTTTGAGACACTTAGTCTCTTTTGAGGAAGCTTAAGTTGTAAAAATCAACTGGATATTGACTTATGTGTTAGAGGGCTCGGATGTGAGTTCTAATGGTTCGGATAGCTTCGGGAGGTAATTTGGGACTTAGGAGCATGATCGAAATGATTTTTGGAGGTCCGGAGTAGATTTAGGCTTGAATTGGAGAAATTGGATTTTTGGCATTTTTCGGTTGATAGGTGATATTTAGATATAGGGGTCGGAACGAGGGTATTCAGGTTGATTCGAAGAAGATAGAGCGGTTTAGAGTTGTCCCAGACCGTCATCAGCCACAGAGATTCATAGTTTTCTTGGTTTGGCGGGTTATTATCGCCGGTTTGTTTAGGGATTTTCATCCATCGCATCGCCCTTGACCAAGTTTACTCAGAAGGGTGCTTCATTTGTATGGTCGTATGAGTGTGAGGAGAGCTTTCAGAAGCTCAAGACAGCCTTGACCACAGCTCCAGTGTTAGTTTTGCCATCAGCTTCAGGTTCATATACCGTGTATTGTAATGCTTCGAGAGTTGGTATTGATTGCGTTTTGATGCAGGAGGGTAGAGTTATTGCTTATGCTTCTTGTTAGTTGAAGCCCCATGAAAAGAACTACCCCGTTCATGATTTGGAGTTGGCTGCCAAGTTCACGCGTTGAAGATTTTGAGGCATTACTTGTATGGTGTGTCTTGTGAGGTGTTTACTGATCATCGTAGTTTCCAGCACTTGTTCAAACAGAATGATCTCAATTTGAGGTAGCGTAGGTGCTTGGAGTTGCTAAAGGATTATGATATCACTATAGTGTACCATCCGAGAAAGGCCAATGTGGTGGCCGATGCTTTGAGCCGAAAGGCGGTGAGTATGGGGAGTTTAGCATATATTCCAGTTGGGGAGAGACCTTTTGCACTTGACGTTCAGGCCTTGGCCAATCGGTTTGTGAGGTTGGAAATTTCCAAGGCCAGTCGGGTATTGGCTTGTGTGGTTTCTCGGTCTTCCTTATATGATCGCAGCAGAGAGTGTCAGTATGATGATCCGCATTTGCTTGTCCTTAAGGACAGAGTTCAGCATGATGATGCCAGAGATGTGACCATTGGTGATGATGGGGTGTTGAGGATGCAGAGCCGGATTTGTGTGCCTAATGTATATGGGCTTCGGGAGTTGATTCTGGAGGAGGCCCATAGCTCGCGGTATTCCATTCATCTGGGTGCTGCGAAGATTTATCAGGATTTGAGGCAGCATTATTAGTGGAGGAGAATATAGAAAGATATTGTGGGATTTATAGCTCGGTGTCTCAATTGTCAGCAGGTGAAATATAAGCATTAGAGACCGGGTGGCTTGCTTCAGCAGATGGATATTCCAAAGTGGAAATGGGACCAGATCACTATAGACTTTGTAGTCGGACTTCCATGGACTTTGAAGAAGTTCAATGCTATTTGGGTGATTGTGGATCGGCTAACCAAGTCTGCGCACTTCATTCCTGTGTGTACTACTTATTCTTTAGAGCAGTTGGTAGAGATCTATATCCGGGATATTGTTCGTTTGCATGGTGTCCCAGTTTCCATCAACTCAGATAGGGGCACTCAGTTCACTTCGCAGTTTTTGAGGTCTGTACAGCGAGAGTTTGGTACTCAAGTCGAGTTGAGCACAGATTCTCACCCTTAGAAGGACGGGCAGTCCAAGCGCACTATTCAGATATTGAAGGACATGTTGCATAATTGTGTCATTGATTTCGGAGGGTCATGGGATCAGTTTCTACCACTTGCAGTGTTTGCTTAAACAACAGCTATCGGTCGAGTATTCATATGGCTCCATATGAGGCTTTGTATGGGAGGCGGTGTAGATCTCCAGTTGGTTGGTTTGAGCTAGGTGAGGCTAGGCTATTGGGGACAGACTTGGTGCAGGATGTTTTAGAAAAGGTGAAGGTGATTCAGGATAGGCTTCGTACAGCACAGTTGAGGCAAAAGAGTTATGCTAACAAGAAGGTTCGGGATGTGTCCTACATGGTTGGTGAGAAGGTTCTGTTGAAGGTTTCGCCCATGAAGGGTGTTATGAGGTTTGAGAATAAAGGTAAATTGAGTCTTCGATTCATTGGACCTTTTGAGGTGCTTCGGAGGATTGGGGAGGTGGCTTATGAGCTTGCTTTGCCACCCAGCTTGTCGAGTGTACATCCGGTATATCATGTGTCCATGCTTCGAAAGTATATTGGGGATCCGTCTCATGTTTTGGATTTTAGCACTATTCAGTTGGATGATGATTTGACCTATGATGTGGAGCCAGTAGCTATTTCGGGTCGTCAAGTTCGAAAGTTGAGGTCAAAAGATATAGCTTCAGTGAAAGTGCAGTGGAAAGGTCAGCCCGTGGAGGAGGCTATCTGGGAAACCAAGCGAGAGATGCGGAGCAGATATCCTTACCTGTTTGAGGCTTCAGGTATGTTTCTTAACTCATTCGAGGACGAACGTTTGTTTAAGTTGGGGAGTATGTGACGACCCGGTCAGTCGTCTCATGAGTTACCGCTCTATTTCCCCCATTTCTGCTCCTTATTACTTTGTCTATCGATTCTATATGTGATCGGGTTGGTTGGCTCGGGTTCGGAAAGGATTTGGTAAGGTTTGAGACACTTAGTCTCTTTTGAGGAAGCTTAAGTTGGAAAAGTCAACCAGATGTTTACTTATGTGTTAGAGGACTCGGATGTGAGTTCCAATGGTTCAAATAGCTTCGGGAGGTGATTTGGGACTTAGGAGCGTGATCAGAATGAGTTTTGGAGGTCCGGAGTAGATTTAGGCTTGAATTGGCGAAAGTGAATTTTTGACGTTTTCCGGTTGATAGGTGAGATTTTAATATAGGGTCTAGAATGGAATTCCGAGAGTTGTAGTAGTTCTGTTGTGTCACTTAGGATGTGTGTGCAAAATTTCAGGTCATTCGGACGTGGTTTGGTTGGGTTTTTGATCAAAGGCATAATTCGGAAGAATTTGGAAAACTTAGGCTTGAATCCGATGTATTTTGGTTGATTCGATGATGTTTGAGGTGTTTTGAAGATTGGCATAAGTTTGAATAAGGTTATGGGATATGTTTGTACTTTTGGTTGAGGTCCCGGGGGCCTCGGGGTGACTTCGGATGGTTGATGGAGAAGTTTGGAATTTTGGTAAGCTGCAGATTTTCTACTTCTGGTATTTCCGCACCTGCGGATTGGGGACCGTAGGTGCGATGCCGCAGATGCAGACGATTGGTCGCAGAAGCGGAAAATGGCTGGAAAGGAAGAACCGCAGAAGCGGTTGTTGGATCGCACCTGCGAAGGCGCAGGTGCGGAATGTTCATCGCAGATGTGAAAAGTTGAGACTTAAGTGAGGACCGCAAATGCGGTGGTCTTGACGCAAAAGCGGTACCGCAAAAATAGGAATTGGGCCGCAGATGCGAAATCCCTGGGCCAGAAAGTATAAATTGTTTCCTTCGCGATTTTTGAGCCATTCCACCATTTCTACGTTGGCTTTGGAGCTTTTTAGATGATTTTGAAGAAGGATTTCAAGGGAACTTTATTGAGGTAACGATTTTGGACCTAAAACTCGTTCCTATTGTAATATTTCACGGATTAGAGCTATAATTAATGGAATTAAGGGTTAAAATTGGGGAAACTAGGGCTTGGTATTGGAGACCCAGACTTGAGGATTTGAGGGACCATTTGTGGTCAGATTTTGGTACTTTTGATATGTATGAACTCGTGGTGGGATGAGGAATCTATTGATGTGAATTTTATCGAATCCCGAGACGTGGGCCCGGGGGTCGAATTTTAGTAATTCGGGACTTAGGTTGTAAAATGATTATTTTCGCTTGGGCTTCATTCCCTTAGCATATTTTGACGTCATGATTCTAATTTTGGAT